CGGGACTTACATATTGAATTTGATATTGTCATTTTTATTTAAATTTTCTGAAAGGGTAGGAAAAACAAACATATTTTGGCATACAGTTTTAAAAAGAAAAAGAAAAACCTTTGAATTATAAGAAGACGGAGTTCACAAAGTATTCTTTTTTTCTCAAAAGGAATGAGGAGAGTGAGCATGTTGCTATTGCTCCTTGACATAAAGACAGTGTCTTTGTTTTATGTCCTCTTTATCTGAATCCTGCAATGCCATCACAGCAGAGTGTACTGTACACCACTTTAAATGATAAGAGTTTCAATAGGCACTTTAGTGGAATTAAGAAAAATCTAACACTCTTCCACCGTGATGCCACATAGCTATCTTCGTTCTAGGTTGTCACGTCAGTAAATTGTATTTAATAGGCCTGAGCTTGTCTCAGTGTGATTCTGAAAACAAAACAAAGCAAGTACATATTATAGGATTTATCTTGTGTTGGCAGAATAAAACAAAACTGACAATATGATAAATATAGCAACTTGCTAGAAACCAGATAATCAAAGAAATCTTGTCCTATAAAGCCTGGGCCTTTGCGTGTGCGTGTGTGCATGTGTGATTTTTATTTGTATTTCTTTTTCTTTTTTTTTTTTAATTTCTCCTCTTGGTTCTATTTGTATTTCTTTTTCTTTTTTAAAAATTTCTCCTCTTGGTTGTGTTTTAGCCTTCACAGCTCCCCTAAGTGACTGTATCAGGGTTATAATTCTCTTCTTCGCCAAACATATCCGCCAAGACTTTAAAGCGGGGTCCCCAGTCTGTCAGATAGTCATAGTCCTGGTCACCTTCTGTGGTGACAGAGTCTATAGAGCTGAGGGACTCTGCCACGGATCCATTTCCTTCATAGGCATATGTGGCCAACGAATCATACGGTGGGGCGGTTGGGTCCACATCGTTTTCCTGTAGCCTTTGATTAATGAAATCCCTTATGTCTGTGTTATCTTCCACTGGTGGCCTCTGACGAGGTAAACAGAGAGAGTCTGGTTTTATATCCCTGCGAATTTTGTTCTCTTCAATCACTTTTGGGTTTCTCAGAGCCCCAATGTCGAAAGCCTGGGTGTCCTCCTCCCCACCTCCTTCATCATCATAATGGATGACGTTGTCTCTGATGTCTTCCTTAGAGGTCATCAGGGTGTCTTTCTTCTTCTGCCTTCTCAGCGCGACATACAGCACAACTATGGCTGAAACCAAACAAAAATTACAATTTTAGAATAGAAAACAGATATTTGGCTTTTATCTCTCAATAAAAAATAAAATCAGAGCTGGCTGAATTTCTTTAATGGTCTCCTATTATTTTTAAAGTAAACATACTATAATCAGTAGATTCATATATGTTTACATTTTTTTCATGGTCTAAAATCAACTTTATTTTGAAATTGTAGCTAACAAGAAACTACACCAAAGTTATTCAGAAAGTCAAACAATTGCGTCCTTATATTTAAGTATTTTAGGTTCAAGTAAAAATGTGTTTTGCAAAATATGAAAAAAAGGAAATAATAGTTGTCCTAACCATAGAGCAGTAAGAGTTGATTTGACAAAATTATTATCATTAAAATATAGCATATTATCATCTATAAGTAACACACAGATATCATTCATAGCTAATTTCCCAATTGTAACATTTCCAATTATAAGTTAAAAAATTGTGTTTCTAATAAAATAAACCCAAATCTTCACTATTGCAATCATTTTTAAAAGCAATAAATAAGAAAGAGGAAGAAGGAAGGAAGGAAGGAAATATAGTTTATATTTTTATAAGCTATAGTTTTAGTCTAGTTTTATAAATGTTACCAACTATAACCTCTAATTATTTCAAATCTGTGTCCTGCCATATTGAGACATTTTCCAAATCAAATGCCTGGTATTCAGGTTACCTTCACGAAATAAGATAATATTTGAAATAGTTACTATAATGTTCATACTTTCATTTTGAAATCTCTCATCATTCCTGGTTGACTTAAAGCTTTCCTTTAAATCAATGGTGCTTATTTCTTCTAGGGGTGAGTTGGCACAGATACAAATGAGTCAGTGCTCAGCTTTGCTTCTCATACTACCCCTCTCCTCCACAGCAGTGGCACTAAAATAAACACCAAAGTGGATTTGATTTACCACAGCAGACTGTGGAAGACTCGTGTCATAGAACTAGAAAGTGTAAAAGAATGCATGATTTTGAAGATCACTTATTCCCTCTTCCTCCAAAATTAGAGTTGGAGTGTTTGGAAGGCAGGGAAAGAGCTGGGTGACAGGTAGGGATACTCAGCATTTTGCTAACAAGGATGGCAGGAGGGAGAAGACCTAGGCAAACCTTCTGTACGGGGGGCCTTGGAGAGATGTTGAGCACCCTGTGCTCCTTTCAGGGTTTAGGGAATCTCAGAACTGAAGAGACACGGGGAACATGG